CGTCCGTATATTCAAGTATTTTTGTGATGTGCCGGGGGTGGGGGGTTCAAAAATACTTTTAACATCTGACTGGGCACCGTTCCGAGCGCACCGATGAGCATTCTCTTTCATGATTGGGAAGTCAGTATATTCGGTTGATCATAACTAAGATGATGATTCCACCTCTTGTTGATACTAACCACAGCGAGAATGTAACCTAAAAGTTCTGACTTCTGGACTGCGGTAAAACGGGAACGTGGGGTAACCACTGACAATCCAGAGTTTCGGTGCGAGATTGCACTAACCATTTCATCGCTTCAATGGTGGTCACACAGTCAAATATTATGGGTTGGCCCAGTCCCCAACCTCAATCTAACTGGGGAAATAAGCGACCAATTATGCTATTTTGGCAGCTATATCTCTCCTAGCGGAAGCGTCACAGATGAATTGTTGGCACGCATACAGTAGGTTCGGTTGGAATCTACCAAGTGCACTCTGCAGCAGCTCGAGCGGTGCTACTTTGCGGTGCAGAGACTAGGCCATCACGGGAACAGGATAAAAATGGACTACCGGTGTTCGGACACCACTGCATGCGCAGGATTGTATGAGTCTGATGGGGAAACCGGACTAGCAATGTTGAGGTTAGGCGTAGAGTTTCAGGTAATCGCGGTCGTCCATTGTAACAAGTGGTCGACCTCCATAGACTACAATGGTTGGGGCATGTGTTACGCACGCCACCAAATAGGTTGCCTCGGCGAGAGATGTTCGCCGAGGCAGGTAGTGGGTGGAATAAAGCCAAGAGTGATCAAGCTAAAATCTGGCACGAGGGTATGAAAACCCTGACCAGGAGACTGGGCCACATAGGTCCCGTTAGGCTCCCTGGATGGGAACCTCGGGATGACCGTAATCGATGGTTAGAGACACTGAGTGATATGGCGTAAACAGTGACATTTGTGCATCTTGTCAATTTCTGTGCAACATTAATCCACTGAAATTATATATTTTCTCTTTGATCTTACTTTCAAAATTTCCGGTCGTTCTAACAATGTTTATTAAAACGGACAGCCAAAAGACTGCAATCAAAATCGGCGCACGATAGTGCAAACTGAGCTAAACTGAAATAGGTTAGTACGGCGGGTTGCGGATAGATAATGATCAAGGGCGGTCAAGCTAAGACCTGGCATGAAGGTATGAAAATCCTAACCAGGACACTGGGTCACATAGATCTCGTTAGGCCCCCTGGATGGTAACCTCGAGATTATGGCAAATGTTGGTTGGTGACAGTAGTATGACTGAATATCGCAAACAGCGGCGCTCGTTCATCTACTCGTCATTCTTACAACCGCAGTCTATATGAATTCTCTATCTTTTCTTTGACTCTGCTCTCAATATTCCAACCTTCATTCTTCTCTCTTATCCAAATGGGCGGTCATAAGACAGCAAACAAAATCGATGTATGAAAACTGAAACATGTGTGAATTCGGTCTACGTGAGATGCGAAATACAAAGTGAGTACACGATGGGCAAAGCTTTTCATTATGAGAAACGGTGCGTATGAATTGCACTAAACACATCGAATACATCAAACAGATTCAGTAGTGTCAACTTTGAAGAATTTCGGCAGCTACGATTCTAGTAAGAGATTGACCCAATGAATAACTTTACACAAAAATGAGCTTACCACATCTTTGCTCATGAAAAAAGAGATCAACGTACTTTCTGCTTGTTTTGCCGATTCTGATTCCTGTGTGAGTTCTGTTTGATGTTCAACGGGGGCTGCAGCCTCACTCGGTGATTCATCCACGGTTCCGGTTAATAGTGCCCCCGGATCCTCTGTGCCCTGTGCGGAAGTACCCTCCAAACTGGCAGTCATCGATTCACTATCTCGCACATGGTCAACCTCATCATCTGGATCCGCCGTGGTTACTAGTGGATCCCCACCTTGATGGCTTGTGGTCGTGGCTGGTGGTGACCCGGATTCCCAGTGATCCTCGGTGCCGGCTCCAGCTCCTTCGAGTTCTTCGTCTAGTTCTAGCTCTGTTTCCGGTTCTGGATGACCTGATGCGGCGGTTCCCTCGTAATCAACTTCAGTTTCCTCGGCCTTGAGAACAGGCTGTTCCTCAGACGCGGAAGTGGTGCTCACCTCAGGCTCATGAGCTTCTCCATCTGGTTCGTACATACCACTATGCCCACTGGGGTGCTTATCCTCTTCTTCTTCGCGTAAGTGGAACGGTGCGAAAGATTCTACTGCCGGAGTCTGCTGAGCAGCCACAACTTCTTCTTCAACAGCTGGTGCGGTAGCGGCAACAGTGTCTACGAGAACGCCTTGGACAACAGCGTGGCTGGATAGATCATCCATACCTGACATTAGAGTAGTCGTACCGACTATTGAGGCTGAAGTGGGATCAGGTGAGTCCAATGGACGTGGAGTGTGGTCTTCACCAAAAGCGGTTTCGTCAATGCGTCGCGTGGCCTAGAAGCAGAAGGGATAAGTGTTGAGCAACCCGGAAAAGGTGCTGATTACTGTCTCCTATCAGCTGCTCTCGGCATACTTCTTTCCAATATCAAACGATGAGATTTTGGTGACATTATTGCCGGGGCTTATAGAACAATAATGATAGACTGCCAGGTCGAGTGCCAGTTGAACTAGACTTAGGATACAGTGGTGGTGATATGGAAAGAGAAAAACTGGTGGGTCTCATGTAACTGGATGTTGTAGGTCACTTGCGAAGAGCGAACGTGAAAAATATGATAACATGAATTCATTGACCACAAAGGCCTAGTAGACACTTTGTAGAGCAAATCTCAAAATCGGAAGAATAAGCGCATTTTGACTAAAAATCGACTAATTTTAATATGTCATTATCTGAATTCACCATCATGCATACACACCACCACACAGTACTGGACATAAGTTACCGCGACCGACTGTTTCCACAATTGCCGCTCATGCATGTCGTGACAAGCGTATCCAGCCAACCTCAAGCACCCTTCCCCCCGCACACACGCTATTGCACACTAGGGCTGAGTGTTGCTAAAATCCTAATCATCCAAAATGGCGCTGCTCGATTGCTCGGTTGTCTCACCTAGGTCAGTCAACCAGACACCGATCTAAACATACCGCGTATTCATGTCGTTTGTCGATTTTGCATGGATGTTCTGTGCTCACCCTGCGAACCTATTCCAGCAGCGTCATGGCTGTCCAATTTTTCATTCCAGCTTGCGGATTATTAGTGAAAGAGTACAACTACCATATTGTGCATAACTCTGACTTCTCGGTCATGAACATGTGCATGCCGTCATACTTAGGGATTTCTCGACTATTCGGGACTGACGGTGATCTTGAAGTGAAGATGACAAGTCAAAGAAAATTCACTTAAAGATCATTGGAATATCTACCTTATCTACATTTCATGTCCAACCGTGGACAAAGCAAGCAAACAGTCCCCATCTAATAGTTTACTTTTGTAATGCACAATTCTGACATACATGAGGCGATTCTATAGAGCACTGAGGCTCACAACTGACCTGGAATTGTGCAAGTGGCATTGCATGCGAGTGCTGAATGAGATCCCCCAAAAGGCGGTCGAAACTTTCCGTTCTAATTATCCTGATTGGATGAGTTACAGAAACCAGATCTCGCGTCATTTTCACACACCCGATACGCCGGTTCTAGTGAATCTATAAGTGTTGAGAATAGGCCATGCCAATATGCCAAATCACCTCCGTTCGACCTCTCTGGCTGTCTCGCAGTTGCACCAGGTGTTGCTTCCAATGACCCAATTACCGTTTTTACTCGATCCGCATGATAGCTGATCACTTGCCCCATCCGCACACCCACATAAGGAACAAATATAAGCTTTGTCTACCACGAACCGTCTTTTTCAACTGTTGTTTGACCTTCATGACTAATTTCATGTCAAGTTTACACTCAGGTGTTCATTCGTTGCTTATTACTTAGTCAGTAGTTGATTATCACTGATTACCACAGATCCACATTTCCTACTCCCTACTCTGATTGAACAATCGACGTGTCAGCCAATCCTGTCTTCCTTTTTTGTCCCATGTTAGTATTCCTACCCACCAGATCGCTTTTTGTTCGGCTATCGAAGGTATTGTCTACTAGTTTGGCTCAAGTGGTTGTGTTTTATATTACCTATCCCCTCTAACTGATTGATCTGTTGATAAACTCCCTGTGAGAACGCTAAGAACTGAGGTTTGTGCAAGTTGTTTACCGCACTTATTGGAACTTAGCATAAATCGTACCTAAATTGATTCTGTCTTCCGGTTTGGTGCATCACTCAACCTTGGCTTAGACACCGAACGTATATTACACCAGGCAGGGTAGCTGGTCTCACTTAGTCAAATACATACGAGTCAGTCGCGAGAAGCGAAGACTGGATTATTGTAAGGACGAGGAGACGAAGTTTGTCTGTCGAAAGCCGGGGTCCCAATAGAATAAATGAAGACAGACTAAAACGATGCAAGAGTGAAAATGAGAGGTAAGATTAGAAGTGTGAACGGGTTCGACTGAAGGGTATCGGACTAACGTTGGGTCAGCTCACATCTGTTTCTGTAATTGAACATTCCAGCTTTGGCTATCACAGTGAAACACTGTTTTTTCTGACCTGACACACAGTAATCGGAAGACGCGTGTAGACGGGATTGACCTTTTGGATCAACCTAACGCACTGAGGAAAGCACATTTGGTTAACAACCACATGTCACGTGGGTTGCCAGGAAATGTATCTTTCCATCAGAGTCACATTCGAAATGTCTGTGGGCAAGAAATCGGAAATTTTTTTTTATCAATATAAGCGAATTCGAAAGCAATCCATGGTCGCCACCTACGCCTCCTGACAGTGGACGCGCACTTGCAATCAGCTGATCCACCACAAGGCCACACCTACCGTTCTGATCAATAACACTGGAACAGCTCACATTCGCGAAATGCCGTCAAATCTGTTTTCTCCGGACTGTACAATATGTCGTGCACTGATACGTGCATACAGTCATGGATCATTTCCATTTCCAGTTGAATTTTTTACTCTTTTATTTATTCATTTCATCCACTGGACTGTTGAAAGAATGCAACAGAAGTGATATACAACATTGATTGATTCAAACTGACTATCCTTCGGACTTCGAACCTTCACGCACAATCCTCAGTTCATCCGATCAACCATACATCAGAAGAAGCACTAGGCTCGGGTTTTGCTCTTATTAGAGCTCATCATTAGTGCATATCCACCATTCCACCGTCCGGGATTTTAACTCCGGACCCATCGGGCATAGAAGGCATACGGGATACCATTGTGCTAAATCAATGAATATCAATTATCCCATAACACTACTCACAAGTAACTGTAAGTTAAATGTGAATAATATGATGATAATGTCAGAGAAGTAGCTGCACAAACAGACCCGAAACGAAAAGAACCGCAATGACAGGTCGCACGTGTGTTAAAGTACCGAAAATCACCATCGCATCAACGCATTGATCTATTGGCTGGAAGCTGACGGGTACACCCTGCCCTCCCTCGCTTCTACATCTGCCAAAGGACACTTACTTCATCGTGTTCAGCTTGCTCCGTAACACAGCGGATATCGAGCATGCACGACTTGACCACATCCATTCGACCAATGGCACGCAAAGCCCGATCCAACTCATTCCCTGTTAGCAGGAGAGAAAAGTTTTGGGAGAATAAAAGGGATATGACAAAACAAAGACATTTTAGTCTAACTGAGACAAGCCGCGTGAGTATGGTAACATAAAAAACACGGAATCGTTGCTGTACTTTCCACTCAACATAACAGTCGCTCAGCATGCGATACACAGGTTTCGAGGACTAAACAGAATGTAATCCAGTGAACAAACAAAGCACCGTGAAACTGAGCAATAATTTCTTATGTTATTCTGTGAATATTTATACATTTAGAAAAACTAAACATTGCCCCCAAAAATCGATAATCCCAGTTCACAATCAATGTTCAGTAGGTTGGGGGGTTGGTCCAGCATCCAGTCTCATCCTAACTGGGGAAGTAGTAGAGGAAATGGAGAAGTTTTGCTGTCTAGGCAGCTACATCTCACCTGGCGGACGCAGCCCAGATGAAGTGTCAGCACGCATACAAAAGGCTTGGTTGGCATTTGCCAACTTGAGACATCTGAGGCGCCGTCGGGACATCCGGTTGTCTGCGAACAGTCAAGTATATGCTGCAGCAGTTCGGCCAGTGGTGCTTTACGGTGCAGAGACTTGGCCACTACGGGGACAGGATAAAAATAGATTGTCGGTTTTCGAACACCGCTGTCTACGTCGCACTGCACCAGTTGGATGGGGTAACCGGACAAGCAATGCTGAGGTTAGGCGTAGAGTTTTAGGTAATCGCGGTCGTCCACTGGATCAGGTAGTCGACCTCCATCGATTACGCTGGTTGGAGCATGTGTTACGAACGTCACCAAATAGGTTGCCTCGGCGAGCGATGTTTACCGAGGCAAGTAGTGGTTGGGAAAAGGTGAAGGGTGGCCAAGCTAATGACCCGGCATGAGGGTATGAAAACCCTGACCAGGAGCCTGGCTCATATAGGTCCCGTTAGGCTGGAGACCCCGAGATCAAAGTCACTCATGGTTATGGACACTGAGTGGTATGGCTGGGTGTTGCAAACAGTGGCGCCCATGCATCTGCTCATTATTCTCCTAACACAACTCTATATGAATTCTCCGTCTTACGCTTGAATTAGCTTTCAGCATTCCAATCTTC